TTTAAAAAGAGCACGCATTGCAACTAGTGTTGCCCAAGTGCGAGACCGAGACGAGTCTTGGTCTTGCAAATTCAGTCTTGGTCGTGGTCTTGGTCTTACGCCAGGCTCTTGCAACAGTCTTGCAGTTACTTATTAGCTTATTACTCTAGAGATATTACTGTATTTTTTTAGATAGGAGAAACCTAACTAAGCCCGAATGAAAAATTAGAAGAGTCAAATGCAAAAGTATATTGATTATACCAATTATTAACATATAGTAACTAAAATTGTCAAGTATTAGTAACTATTTTGCCTTAATTTTTATTTAAAAAATCGATTTTTTTTTGCCAGTCCTGGTCTTGGTCTTGCAACAATTATATAGTCTTCCTCTTGACCGATTTTGCGTAACACTACTTAGGGGACTCCGAGTCAAGCTTTGTCCTCGACATGTGGAGCACAAAATACAATAAAATATATCTTTTACTAAAAATTTCAAATAAATTATTTATTTTCAAAGTGAATCCTAATCATCATTAACGATTTTCCAGGAAACACGAAAAACTACATTTTTTATTCCAATTGTAATATCAAAACCAAAACCTTAAAAAAAAATTTAATTTATTTTTAATTTTCAATTGAATACAACAGAGAATTTTTTGTTGAATTATTTTTTAAAAAATACTAAAGAAATGCAACTTTGATTACATTTAAAACAAAAATGTTTCGGAAATAATTTTATTTTCACACATTTTTTTTTTCTTTAATTTTATCTGTTTTTGAAAAAAATGATTGCACCATTGGATTCATCTAGTGTTCTCTAATGGGAATCGATACTTATTTCGATATACAAAAATGGATTAGAGTTTAATTTGGAAATAAGTGAGGTATGACTAAGAAACCTGGAGGTTTCTTTAACAAGAATATGTTAAGTAAGAAAAAATAAAGGACCATGTTGGTTTATTAGCTGTTAATTTACACAAAGTGAAAAAAAAAAGAACTAGAGAAAACTGGAAGAAAACCATGAGGTTCGGCCAAAGCAGATAAGAGAGGATACCATAAAGTCTTATTCATGGAGCTATCTTCAAGCCAAAGACCACTCGGCGTAGACCCCAACTGCTGACCGAGATCCTACCTCCGGGAGTTATGCCGCTAAGCGGTAGAGGGTAGGAAGGAAATGGCCACGTCAGTATTTATTCAGATCACAGAGGCTATAATGCAGTTAGTGGTTTCTATTTACATTTAGGACGGGACATATATCGAGTCCCGTGTTTGCCTCAGCTGCTACTCAAGGGACAGCCCCTGAATCCTTAATCTTTCGCAAGGCAACTCCGCCACGCCATATCCACCTCGTCCGCATAATATTACTTATATAGCCAAATATTGCCCAAAGCCTATCTTTTTCTCTTCTTCTTCTACTTCTATTTTTATTTGTATTTTTTTCAATTATTTCCGAATCTCCATGTTTCGGGAAAAAAGATTGGAAATTGAGTCTTAACTGTACCGATATCTTAATGATGTAGAGATGGTTGACCGTTGATATATATAATAATATAATATATATTATAGCGGTCAGATAAATACTAAATTAAAATATAGTAATTGTTTTATTTTAATTTTGCCGACGTTTCGACCCACTTTGCAGGTCGTCTTCAGGGCTACAAAAGATACAAAACATGTTGAGAATAAAAATTAAATATAAGTAGATATAAAATAAGAATAAGTTTTCAGATACAGAAATAAAATATGATATCAGAGATATAGTGGGTGACAATGTAGTAAAATATTAAGTATTATATATGTAGAAGATACAAAAAATAAAAATAAAATAAGTATGAATAAAAAATGAATAAAAATAAAAATAAAGGAGAATATAGCATGTAAGTTAAAAGTAAACAGATTGCGATAAAAGATAAGAAATAAATGTATAACAAACTAATAGAGATTACATGGGATAATGGTGGGTTTAACAGATAAATAAAATGAATGTTAACTAATAAATAGATTTTTTTTATTATTTTAATGGAATTTACAACTGTAGTACATAGAGAATACAATAAGTAAATGAGAAATTTGTAACATGGCATGTACAACATGAAGAGAAACTACCCATTGGTAGAACTCAATAAATAGATTTAAAATTGAATAAGTAATGTTACAGTAAAGTTAAAATAAGAATAAGATAACATAATAATAAGATAATTTATCTTACCTTATTATAATTTTTATTATATATCTTATATAATTTATTTATTTATCTTATATAATTAAAATAAAACAATAACTATATTTTAATTTAGTATTTATCTGACTGTACCGATATCTATTTAAATATTTCAATCGATGAAAACAGGAACGCAATAAATTGCTTAAAATTTATTTTCCTTTTTTTTTTTTTGGATATTCAATAGTTGACAGTTGCATTATAAAGAAAGGAGAGGGTCCGGGGTGGCGGTCATAAATAGGCTAAATAGTGGCAAAATTATTTTATTAAAAGCCAACGTTTTGACTCGACTTTGCAGATCTTCTTCAGGGAGGTGTGTTCAGCTAGGAGTTTCACTTAGAACTGGAAATGAGTTTCAGTTAACATACTACTAGCTGAACCAACTCCCTGAAGAAGGCCTGCAAAGTCGGGTCGAAACGTTGGCTTTTAATAAAATATTTATGCCACTATTCAGTCTATTTATGACCGCCACCCTGGACCCTCTCCTTTCTTTATAATGCAACAGTCAACTATTAAATATAAAAAAAAAAGGATTTTTTTTTCATATTCGCTTCTAAGCAAGAGGATCATTGGCGGTATATCTTATATGCTATTAATACTTAGTTTCCATCAAGTATTGGAACAGAGTGAAGACATCTTTATTATTTCCCAATATTTGTTTCACTGTTGGGCACAACATTAATTTTTGTCTATTTTTTTTTAATTGGGACAGTCTAGTAATAATGACTGCGTTGTCTCACTTTTGGCCCATATTACATTGAGAATAACAAAAAAAAATACATTTAAAAATATTTAATGGGTGACAAAATTTAATGTTAAAAATATCATGGTGCGGAAGATAAAAATTGTGAACAGAAAATCTAAAAAAATATTGTTTAAAGCATGTTGTTTTTACTAAATATAATGAATTTTTAAATATTGGTCACCATCTCCTGAAATTAATAAATTCATTCGACGTCATATTCATAACTAAAAGGAATACCAGACAAAATGAAAATATTAATATTATAAAGTATAATAATATTAAATGAGCTTGGAAACCAAAGTCATTTAGAAGTTTACTGTTGATGAGGGTCAAGTGAATAGGGTCGACACGGGGGTGGAGGGTGCTCCAGCCGGGGAAAGTAAATGGGATGCATTCTTCTGGGAGGAGGCTCTTTGAGGGAGGAGGGGAGGAAGGCTATCTACATCGCACTCCAGGAATCTCATCTAATTCTGGAGTGGTGGTCGCCACGGTATGGAACTCCGATATGTCGATGCCATTACACCATTCCAATACATGTTCAACCTGCCTTTTTAATTAAGGAAGGGCAGTGAACAAAACTATTAATGATATTGAAACATTTAGTCCCCTAACAAGGAAGTACTACAAGACAACGATATGAGGAGGTCAGAACGGTAGTGGTGAAAGTCAAGTTTAGTATTTGATGAAAGTGAATACTTTATAAATATCTACTATTGATAGAACTAAGAGACATGTGCGGCGAAAACTCGAGGATGGCAGATAACACAACATTTCAAATAATCTCATTTATTGTCATTATAACGTTGGGACAAATAAAGTAACTTGGAAATCTTTATTGAATGGATTTGAGCCATTTTAGATTTTTGTTTTCTTTTCTCTCCTTCCTCGCCTTTACGGCTATAGATTTTTATTCCCGGCCCACGGGAGAGAGCAGAGGATTATTGCCAGATTTAAAAGTCTCCCGGGTACCGAGATTCAAACGAGAACTTTAGTTTATCAGGTAGTCGGGCAAGGAGTATTTTTCATTTTCGTTATTTTAGAATCATGTATTCTCAATGTAATCATCATATTTTTCAGGTGCTTCATAACATTTATATATATTGTATTTTGTAATAAAGAAATTCCTGGGGGATAGGAAAAAAAAAGAAGAAAAAAAAAGGGTACTTCATAAACTGAAATCTTGGAGGTATGATATATCATTTTCTTGGCCAATACCATATTAAAATGCGAGAGGAAAGATTTAAAAAAAAACAGCGAAGAAATTGCATAGGAATCAAATGAAAAAGACAATTGGTTGTTTGCGTTTCACATTCTGAAAGATTCTCTACATGAAAAAAATAAAATAAAATAATCCAATTAGCCCTCCTCCCCTTTTAGCATTTTTTTCAAGCATTTACTTTTAGGTTATAATAATAATTAAAAAATGGTGGTAACGAACAGATTGAAACGTATTTTATTAAGCGCTTAGCGAAAGAAATAATCTACAATTATAAAAACAGTTGAACTTTTCAATTTCATTTTCATTTTTTGTTTTTTTCTGAATTTAATATTACAATGATAGAAATAAAATATAACAAAAAATATCTCAATTTTTTTTAAAACAACTGGATTCTCGTCATACAAATCTGCATCCTTCACCTTGATTTAAAGAGGCTATAGAGGGATGAGAAACCTCAAAAACTGGGGAGGAGGGAGTAAGAAAAAAATAGACGGGATCCGAAAAAAATAACTCCATTTAAAAATCCTTGGAAATGCCGATTTTTCGATAGAATTTATCCAAAATCTATAGTTGCCTATTGCCTCGAAATAATCTTACACATCGGATTTCAGCTTATTTAATCCAAAAGAAATGCCCAAAAGTAGCAGGAAAAACATAAAATCATCCGTATTGTCGAGCGCTTTTCAATCGTCTTATTTTCGATAAAATTACGACTGATAATAACTTGCTAACATTTTAAAATAAACCAAAACTGGTAACGACGCCTTTGTTACAACAACAAAAGATAATATTTATTTATGTTAAATCCAAGCCTAGTCTTATCGGGCTGACCCATTTTAAGGACATGTTATGCCTGATATGTGTGTGCAGTGATGCCCTGTCTTATAAGCCAATGCAAACAAGAGGTAGGGGATATTGGCGAACCTCTCTCGCAGATAACGACCTTGTTTGAGCAAGATATATCTGGAAAAAGATAAAAAAAAAAAAAAAAACCTTGTGAGGCACATTATTTTTTTTTCCCCTCATGAATCACAGAATGAATCGATGAAGTACAAAATGTATTTCGCCATAGTAAAACGGTTTACACGAACATCTCAAACCCTACATATTTCTGACGCCTCGGTTCAATTATTCTTTCCCCATTTTCTCTCCAGACCTCGGCATCCTCCCATTGTCTTAGCGGCCGCTTGTATTCAAACGTGGTTATCATTAGTCAGCAACCACTTACGTTCACACCTCTGCTACTCTATTGTTCCCAAACCTACTTCCAGCTTACTTCAAAAATGCTTTTTATTTTATTTAGTGGTGTGTTATATAATTTTCTATTTTCATTCGAGAAAAGACAACATTCTGTAACTTGTCAATCTTGACTTTCATGCAACGCAATTCGGTTCTTGGCAATGAGAACTATTTTACTCGATTTAGACAATTGATTCAATAAAAAATAATATAATACAAATTAGAGTTTTCATAATATTACTTTTCAAAGTCTAAATATGTTCCTCCATTGACGTTCAATGATCATTTTTGGTTTTTATTTTTATTTTGTAACCAAGATTAAGACACCACTGGAAACAAAACAAACTAGTCCGATGTCAGATTATTAATTGATATTTTAGCATGTGCATGTGCTCTTACATCTTATATCTCTTGTATCTTGACTATCTTTTTTCTTGATGTTTAGATGTGGCATGCTAAAGTATTGTATATAGAATAAATATCTTTTTTTGTTATTTGTATTATCTTTATTATCTTAAATAACTTCCTTTTTATCTTTAATTGTGTATAGTAATTATCTTTGAATTCACCCTTTTTCATTGTATTTTATTTCTTTTTATTTTACATAGTATTAATTCTGTAAATATTTCTTTTTTTAAATAGATCTGTTAAGCTTTGTGCTGCTTTATAAAAATATCCAGCCTAACCCCTTCTCATCTGAGCTAGCATGGTAGAGTAAATAATTAATTTACTCCCACGTTGGGCGCTACTATTTATATGACCAAAAAAAGGATAAATAACAAGATAATAAAAATGTTTTTATAAATATACTCCACCGGCTTTAGCCCAAGTACGGCGGTTGAGAGAGTAGCGCAGGGATTTGGGTTCCCCGCCTGATTGTATATATTCTATATAGGTATGGCTGTATTTTTATGTTTTTAGTTTACTTATATTTAGGTTATTTTATTTTTTTGTTGTATATAGTTTTATTTATTATTATTTAGTTATTATTTTACTTTTGTTAATTTTTTTTTTTTTTTTTTGTATATACGGTGTGAATGTGTTCATTTATCAATATAATTATTGTCCCCTTGACAGAATATTATATGTCTAAATAAATAAATTAAAAAAAATAAATATAATTTTCGATAGGAATTTTTATTTGTTGGGCGCCTGGCTTACCAGCCTTTCATCTCTAAAGAGACAAATCTAGAAAATATAAAGTACTTACCAATTATTTGGCCATCATTAATTATTTACTCTACCATGCTAGCTCAGGTGAGAAGGGATTAGGTTGGATATTTTAATAAAGCAGCAAAAAGGTTAACAGGTCTATTTACAAAAAGAAATATTTACAGAATTAATACAATGTACAATAAAAATAAATAAAATACAATGAAAAAAGATAGAATTTAAACATAATTACTATATACAATTAAAGATAAATAGGAAGATATTTAAGATAATAAAAATAACAAAAAAAGGTACTTATTCTATATACAATAGTATGGCATGCCACATCTAAACATCTAGAAAAGATAGTCAAGATATAAGATGTAAGAGCACATGCACATGTTAAAATATGAATTAGTAATCTCGCACAGGAAACAAAAGAGAGTCGAGTTATATTTGTTTTTTCACTGCTTCCTTAATCATGGTTACAATTTTTATCCGTGAGCAAAGTCGGAATAGCATGTAATGAATAACTGCTACAAGAATATAATTCTTAAGAATATTAAATTAATGTTATCAATCTAATTGTTCTTTCATTTTAAATATGATATTCATACCAGGCTGAAACGACAAGAAACCGCTCGACGTTTCCGATTACTTCAGCACTTACTAGACAAACGCTCCAAACTTCCAATTAATAACACAATACTCATATACATGACTATAATAAGGCCTATTTGGATTTACGAAGTTGAGCTATGGGGCTCCAATAAACTATTCTCTCTTATCCAATCCTTACAATCCAAAAACCTTCGTAAATTCCTCCCTACTTTGTTACAAATACAACCATCCAAAATGAGCATCTTATCTGGCCCAATCCAGATACTTATACTTCATTAATAAACTTCAGAATCATCCCAACATTCTCGTTTCTAACCTTGCTTCCTCTTCAATTTGCGATAATCCTCCGAGGCGTCTGAAAAGAAGATGGCCCCGCGATCTCCTAATATCATTAGATAGACATAGTAGACACAAATAGACATATCATTAGAGTGCTACCATTGTGTAGTTACTTAGCAAGTGTTTTCATGCCATTATATCCGTATGTTCAAATTTAAATTTAAATTTAAAGACGTATTTATTTAATACAGTTGTAAATATCATTAAGAAATAATATTAAAAAAAAATGTATGATATTAAATTGATATTATAGTAAAAATTAACTCTTTAACAAATTTAAATAAAACTTTAATTAGCTATTTAGAGGTTTCCGTGTTGAACCTTTGGGTTTGGTAGCCTTGATTTATTATTAAGGGGAAATAATATATTTTAAATATAATTTTACGTTAAAAAAATGTCCTCTCTGTTATGAATTATTTTAAAATATTACAAATATGTAGCAACCTATTTACTGTGTTAACAATTATTTTAATATTGTTTATTATATGAATTTCCTTATCCCAGTAGTTTGTTGTGAAATTTATATTTATTCAGGTACATTAGCGGTTATTTGATCGAGCCTTAAGAAGATGTATCTATCCGAAGTGCTTGTCTGAAATAAGATTATGATGATGGAAGCCGAGAAAGAAAACCCGAGAAGAAAATACAACCTCTCTAAAAAGTTTCCTAGATAGTTGTAGTGATTTCCATGAATATAAAATGCATCTACCTCTAGAAAATATCAAGGAGATATCCCAGATGATTTCCCTTTTGTTTATTCTGGGATACATTTTTTAAAACATTACCTTCTAACTCCATTTACATTTTTGAAGCATAATATGAAAACCTCCTTTTTATTATCACATACCACTAGTGGTTGATATATTTATATATTCTTCACTTTGTTTTAGCAAGGTAAAAACGCAATAATACGAATATTTATTAAATTTATCTGACGTCTACAGATCAATTATTATAATGAAACGCATTTAAATATTATACTAATAATTGATAATAATATTGAATTATTGAACTCAAAGGTTCGATTCCTATATTATCAAACGTCGGCTAAATGCTTCATCGATCGTTACCCCAATGAACCAAAACAGTAGGGAGAAATTTTTATTTCAGATTAGTCGTTTGTAATACGGCATGGTATACCTGACGCGCCTGCTTATCTCAAACGTGCGAAGGATTTCTCTCTCAAATCTTTCAATACTTCTTTCTAGATTCAGGACTTGCAGCTGTAAATGAGAACTGGCTTTATGATAGCATTTTTTATCTCTAGTTTGAGATTTCTCGAGATATCAATTCCTTTGAAAGATAAAAGAAAGCTTCATTGTAGAGGTTATTGTGGAGCTAAAATGGTGTTGAATAGACACATAAATATTTTATGTATCAAATTATTTTTGAAGTGAAAACCTCTTTAGTCGCGTTTTGCACATTTTTTATTGAGAGTGAATTAGATAGAGCCTTCAGATCTCCGATGTGTAACGCTCGGATAAAGTCAGCTGGAGTCGACTGTTTTTGCATATGGATTAAAATATCTCCAAAACTAAAAATCTGTATATTGTTTATCGAGGGAAAAGTTCATTATTTCATCCTCTTTGTAAAGAGCTATCATTCAAAATTGTATCTTAACGCGACGCCGTGTAAGAGAGGTGAAAAGGGAAAAATAGTGTCGAAAATCAAATGATAACGAGTTTTATTGAAGTTATGGATTAAAAATCTCAAAAACTAAAAATCGGACCTGCATACCGTAATCGAGGAAAATATTCATCACTTTATTCTATTTGTAAAGAGCTATTATTCAAAATTGTATCTTAACGCGACACCGTGTTAAGAGAGGTCAAAAGAGAAAAAAATGTGTCGACAATCAAATTAAAACGAGTTTTATTGAAGATATGGATTAAAAATCTGAAAAACTAAAAATCGAACCTGCCTACTGTAAGCGAGTTAAATATCCATAATTTTATTCTATTTGTAAAGAGCTATTATTCAAAATTGTATCTCAACGAGACGCCGTGTTATAGAGGTGAAAAGGGAAAAAATAATGTCAAAAATCAAATTAAAACGAGATTTATTGAAGATATTGATTAAAATATATCAGGAAGTAAAAATATGACATGCATTCTGTAAGCGAGGGAATTGTTTAGAATTTCATCCTCCCAGTAATAGGTTATTATTCAAAACTATATCTTAACGCGACGCCGAGTTGAAGAGGTGAAAAGACAAAAAAATGTGTCGAAAATCAAACTAAAAGGAGAGTTATTGAAGATAGGGATTAAAATATCTAAGAAAAACTAAAAATCAGACCTGCATACCGTAAGTGAGGGAAATGTTCAGCATTTCATCCTTTTTAAAATGAGTTAATATTTATAATTTTTATTATTCATATTATTAATTTCACTTCTATCTTGTGGTCTAAAGCATAAGTTTTTTTTTTTTAGGTCTTTTTGTGTTTTCAAATATATTTCGGTTGTTATTTAGTTAATTGGTTACAGTTGATCATTTATTCATAATGAAAATGAAACAGAGGTCACACGTACTACCTTGCCAATAATATAATATTGATATAAATTAAATTATTAACTATGAATCTGAGGTGAAGATAATAAATCGATATTTAGATAATATCGATGATAGAACTTAGACCTCAAGTTGTAATTACCTCGGCGAGTCAGTTAGGGATTGTTTATTTTCCATGCAGAGAACTCCCGAGATTTTCATTGGCGTAAAATCAACATTCAACAATGATCTTCAACAACTGCCTTCATCAATTAACACAACTCCCTTTAAATTATTACAAAAAACATTTAAAAACAACTACCGTTCCATTTAATTAATAACAGAAGGAATAAAATAAAAATAAAATAATAC